ACAAATTTGATTATTAATATTAAATCTGATTTTTCTTGAATATAAAATTTAAATCTTTGAAAATTCTGAATTGAAAAAATTTAATTCTCTGAATTAAAATTTAAAATCTTTAAAAATCCCTGTATATATATAAATAAATTATATATTCAAGGTAACATTCAATAATTAATAATTCGAATTAATAATTATCATTAAAGAAAAAGCCAAAAAAAAAAGAAAAAACTAAAACAAAATATGATTAGTTAAATCAATACGTTTCTCAAGTTTATTATCAATATATTATTATTTCGATAATGATGACCATGATCATAACCACATACATTATTTCGATTAATAATTATCTCATAAAATAATAAAACAAGAAAAATAAAGTGATTTATTTGCATGTGTACTCATTTCCTTAAGTTCATTGCCAATATGTTTTTCCGATGACGGTCATGATCATGACCTTAGATTGCGAAACCTTATTTGAATTAAACGAGAAATAATGAAGTTTAAGGACTTCGATCATAATATGCATATGCATTTAAGTCAAATATTTATTCTATATAAAACAATAAACAAAATGTGATATACATTAAAATATATTAATGTATCAAACCTTATACGAAAAATATTTGTTTTTTTTTTACAAAAAATTGAAATGAATATTTTAAACAAATTAAATTAATTGTGACACATACACACACATACTGAGAGATCGAATTTATCGAAGTAAAAATATTTATTTAATTATTATATTCGAAAGTAAAAAAAATCGAAAAAAATTTTATAAGGGATGAGTTATTTTTTTTTTTACGAAAAATAAAAAACAAAATATCGAATAAAATAATAATAAGAGACGCGAATAATATTTCGTTTGGAATCAAATTAATAATGGAAGATAATTTAAACGTTCTACCCCATTCCCACCCCCCTCCCCAACTAACCACCCACGTAATTATCTCGAAGATAATATGATCGGTAAAAAAGATCGATCAAATTTTTTTCATTTAAATCGGTAGAATTTTCTTTAACACGATTAAGATTGTAAAAGTAGAAGTAAAAGTAGAAGAAGAAGAAGAAGAAGAAGAAGAAGAACGTTTCCGGGGGCTAGAAACGTCTTGCACACTTCGAATACCTGCCTAATAATAACCGGAATCGTATTAACAGGAAAAACAAAACGAAGAACAAAAAAAAAAAAAAAAGCTAAAAGGAATAAAAAAAGTACCAGTCGAAAAGACACGTGCGTATTTGAGTACTTTAAATAAATCAAATCAAATCAAATTAAATCAAATCGAAAGAAAGAAAGTAATAAAATATATACGTAAATCAAATTGCACATTTCGTGATGAGAAAAGAAGATTCTTGAAAAAAAAGTAGATGTAAAAGGGAAAAAAAAAATGATTTATTTCTTATTCTACTTCTTCTTCTTCTTCTTTTTCGCAATATTCTGCAAAGAGATTCAATCCAATAATCCAAAATTACAAAAAGTAATCATTCAACGTACAAATTTAATCATCGAATTCACGATAAAATATTCGATATCGAATATACATTTTCCAAATGACAATTTTGCCAATTTATTTAAAACAATTATTATTCGAATTATTATTATTATTATCATCAATGTACGATAAATATAATAATAAAAAATAAAGAAGAAAAACAAAGAAAAAGATGCAATAAAGTTTTCCTCCCCACGTGTCGTTGTTTCACCCCGTTAACTGTTGTTGTTGTTGTTATTTTATATTTAATATCTTTTACACACTTTGTTTGTTTGTTTTGTTTATGTTTTAAAAGAATCACCGAAAGATAAGAATTAAAAATGAAATAAAACGACGCAAACAATCATCGAGTATCACCAATTGATAGAATAAAATAAAATAACGAGAAAGAAAAAATAAAAATAAAAATATAAAAAAAATAAAAAAACAATCATACTAACCGATTCTCTTAGAGACTATGACCGAGTGCACTAAATCTGACACGGACTACTACTATTCACTCCTCCGCGTTCTGAAACGTTCTACCAGCAGATTCCAACAGAAGACGCGTGCGCAAATACGACGGCGAATAAAACTCGACACAACGCCGAAACTACGTTTCCCAAAGGGAATTTTCTATCCCCGGTAGAGCCCCCCACCCACCT